GTACAAAGTAACTTGTCTTGGCTGTGTTTAGTCAACTAGTATTTTGTAAACTACATTCACATTTCAATTATTATACATTATATATGTATATAGATTTTTGCTATTTTGAAATAAGTTCTTAAACATATTTTTCTGAAAACATAGAACAGTAAATAAAGAAGTAAAGCAAACAATTATCTGTTCTAGTTACGACCTTTGTACTCGGCTGCTGCTTGACGTAGGTTACCAAGCCTTTAAAAAATTGCATGTGGGGGATATGAAACAAAATATTTTTTTTGGTTTTATATATATACATTTGAATAACTAAAAAATCATTAATTACTACATCAATGCCATAGAATTCCACTATAATTTATCAAGCTTATAACTAAGATGTATTTTACTCTTTAAAAAAAATATGAAATTTCGAGCAGACTAAAGACAAATTCTACCTCCTTGAAATATTTGTTCAAAAGAAAGAGATGGCATCCTAACACAAGAAAATGACCAAGAAAGCCACTAAGGGGACATTCTGAAGTAAGTGTATATAAGGAAGCATATCCGCACCATTAAAAGTTTTAAATCACTCGGGGAATGTGCAGCTCACATTACGCTATCAAATTACATTACCACAAGCTACTCACGTGCATGCCTTGTGAACCATTTTAATTATATTATTATTATTATTACTTATTTTACCTATTCTAGTCTTAAATAACTTTAACAAATTTTTCTAAAAACTTTTAGATTTGTTACTTTTATAATAATAAATATGAAAAACAAGAAATAAAGTACTTACCCAGTCTTCATTTTTCTTACCCTTGATTGTCGAGGAGAGTTAAGCCTGATTTTTATAGTAATGCGCTTAAAATTTTTTATTTAATTAAATAATGCACCAAATAGTAAAGACTTACAACATGCAAAAAGTAGACAAATTCACCTAACTCTCAAAATTTTCCTGTTTTTCTAACTATTGCTTTAAGAGCCCTTAGAAGTTCATCCAAGCTAGTCATTAACTTTCCCACGGAAACTTAGTTGCTACTGAGTGAAATTGACGATTGAAAACATGTGATACAATACGTCGTTTGATAGATGAAAACCTTGACTCTCTATTGGTTATAGGTAATATATAATGAAACATAAGAGAGAACTATCAATGAATTGTGAAAGAGAGGATGTGAGAGGTGAGTGTGGGGTCACATTTTCTATTTGATAGCTCTGTAACCAAACAAAACTAAAAGCTATAAAAATTGTGGTTTGTTTGAGCAATAACAACTTTATAGAGAATATTTTACATTTAATTTCATACAATTTCATTGTTAGTACAAGCTTCGTTCCCATGGGAAATATAAC